GGAGAATTTGTTTGTAAAACATAATTGAAGAAAGTGAAGTGAGCACCTTTTTTTATATAATTTATAAGTAGACAGTAGTCTGAAAAATTTACTAAGATATTCTCTGTTATCTAATGTTTTGAATTTTAGAAATTTTGGATTTAAATTTACTATAGTTAGTGATCTCATTTTCTAATAATGTCATGTATGGTCACCCTGTACCCATACAAAAAACATTTGGGGGTTTGATGATTTTTAATAGTAAATATAGTTTTTACTTAATAACATCATCTAAAAAGCTGAAATACAGAATTTTAAAAGATTTAAAACAATAGATTTTTCTAATTTAAAAAATGAAAATAATTCTTGCAAAAATTTATTATTCATTGAAATTTTTTTTTTCTCTCAAGACAATAGTGTCCTTAAGATAACTTATTTATAAAAGCAATTAAATAATATCAGTTTTATTGCATTTTTATGATTATGAGCAGATGTTCAGTCTGTTTGACAAAACCAAATAAATAATTTAAATTCTCTTGCTTTTTGATACGAAGAGGCTGGAATTTTACTTTCTCGAAATTTCATAAAAAGTATGTGGGGGTAACAAATGTAAAAAAAAAATAATTTAATTCATTTGTCCTGAAAATTTCATTAAGACGTGCTAAAAAGGATTCAAAAATCAAAAACAATCAAAAAGTACATTTGTTGATAAAAGTTTGTTTTTGTCAAGTTTGGGGACTTATTGTATTTTTATTTTTTATTTGGTCCTTGGAGCTACCTACCAAAAACTAACTAAAAGAATATATTTTGCGTACAATTGAAATATATCTGAGAAAATGTCTAAATGTTAATTTTGAGTTCTCATCCTTTTTTTACCCAAAGAAAGACAGAAAAGATACTTAGTGTTTTAAAAACTAATTACTAAACTGATAATAGCTATCTTTAATTTCTAAATAATGAATATTTGAAATATAATCGTTAATAAAAACCTATTTTCTTAAAAATTAAATAATAAATTGTGAAAAAATTAATCTCAATTCTCAATTTTTGTGGAGTTTTCTTTTTCCTAAACTTTTTTATATATGAAAATATAACTTTTGCATTTTAGCTTCAGGTGGGGACAAAGAAGTTTGTCCCCAACAGAATGCAAAAAATTATATTAAAATTTAAGTATTTTTTTTTTTTTTTTTTGTCGACTTGGATCGAATATTTTAAACATCAATTTAATCTTCGTGAATCAAAACATTTCAACCTTTTCTTCCGCATGGTCTATTAGTTGGGTTCCAGGTCAGACAAATTGTGGGAATTTTTTTTTTTTTTTTTTAGGTTTTGCTCGAATTAAAGATGTGAAGAACATCTTGAAATAAGAAAAATTACTAAGTAGCATTTCGTTAGTCCACATTAGATTGAATTATACGTTTATTTCGTTAAACCCCCACGGTTGTTTCTCAGTGGAAATTAACAAGAAAAAAAACCTGTACGCGAGAAAATACAAAAACACAACATGATATTTTTTTTTTCTCCTTTCTTAGCCTAGGTTTTCATTTGTAAGGCTTTTTTTTGTTGATGTAATTAAAAAGAAAAGACTAACACTCGAGACAAGAATAAATTACATAAAACAGAAATTAAAAATGGATTTCTTTTTTTGATCATAATTCATTCACATTTAGTATTTTTGCTTTTTATTTAAGCTTAATGCAAAATCATTTCATCATCCAATTTACTACCAAAACTATTCGTTACAGCACAAATTATGATAAATCAGAATTAAGTGCAAAAGGAATTATTTAAATCCGTCAATTCGCTGAATTTTAATTTCCTTCTAAATTTGAAAGCTTCACGTCATTTAAACTAAATCAAAACAATACAATACCATCACCGGCTTTGTTTTAAAGTGCTTTTTTTTTTCTTCAAAATAATGTAAGTTTTAAAAAGGAAAGTTTAAAAGCTTTAAAAGTCTTTCTTTTTACATGGCCTTTTCAACTTTTTAAAACAGGTCTTTAAAAATCTGTAATTTTATTTTTAATCAGAATATTTCAAAAATAAATTATAGAAACTCCAACATAAAATTCTCGGAAAAAATAAAAACAATTCATTTCGCAAATTAACAAACAAAAAAATGCTTAAATGTGACAGTAAAATAAAACTAAAATCAATGACAATTAAAAAAAAACAAAAAAAAAAACGCCTACTTCTAGATAAATTTTTAGATGAAATAGTGAAAGTTTAATCGTCATTCTTGAATCTTGAGGAGAATTTTTTCTTTTAGTGTTTTTTTTTTCTCTTCAAATTCATGTGTACAGAAAAAAATAAACAAACATAAAACTTACTTCTCTCTGTCGTTTAAGTTTTTTTTTTTCCTGGGGCAATGCAATATTGAGGGTGAGGGAAAAGAGAAATACTATAACATTTAAAATAAATCATAAATTTCTGGGTTAAATTTTCGCTAAAAATATTGTATTTACTTGCTATCAGAAAATGACTTTTGAAGAGCGAAAGTCAAGGGAGATAATAAAAACAAACTATTTTTTTGTTATAAACAAGGATTTACTCAAATGTGGTATCCTTAAATTATAAAGAAGTACTTTTTCATTTAAATTTTCTTTTTTATCTCCTATAAAGACAAATGAAAGATTGGGTCTTTTTCACTACTTCCCACCGAAAACTAACATCCATAATTTTAAAGTATGGAAGACTTAAAAAAATTATTTATTCTTTTTTTGCTGCTAAAAGACCCAAAAATAACAGGTTTTCAATTTAGTTTGGTGCAGACTAATAAAATGTTATGCTTTATATTGCTATTTTTTCTAATTTCAAATATTTGATAGTATCTTTATTAGTTGCTTTAGACAAAGATCTGAATATGGAATCCACTGACAAAGATATACAATGCATTGGGGAGAAAAGGTGAAATATTTTGTGATTCTCCAAAATTAAATTACTGTTAAAAATTGACTTCAAACTGATTTAAATTCAAGTCAATGAAAAAAGAAATATATGATATAATCATTTATTATTATCATCATCATCATTATCACCATCATCATTATCTGGCTTTTGTGTTTTTCTTTCAAAATTATGGTTGTTAGCTTTTGGTGGTGACTAACAAAAAAGCTTAGATTATACTATTAAACTGAAAATTCACAAAAATGGATAGAACAATTCTATAATCTTTTCTTTTTATTCTAAAAAATCATTCAGAAGCCAGGGTGCATCACCCTAGAGTAGGGGTTATCAAAATCATCTTACACAGCTTGTCACAGACTTGTGACTTTGTGCCAGATTAAACTATATTTACTAAAATATCTATATGTGGTTATGACTTGGTTTTCCCACCATCAGTAGCAGTATTGTTGTCCTGGGCAATCTGATGGAACCCAACCCTCTTCAGGCTAGTTCTGAATTTAGAGATTTTCTTTCTCTTAGATCAGTTGACACTCAAGGCAAAAGGACCCAGTCTATCCTACCCATAGCTTAAGAGATGGATTCATACATTTCCCAATGATACTAGCATGTAAATGAATGTGTTGTGGATTGTTCTGGTGATGTGTTGACATTATCTAAATGTAATCCTTTTTTTCATATATGTAATTTTGTTTAGGGGTTAAAAAGACATAATCAGCCCACAACAGAATTATATAAATTACAAACAAATCATATACAAGATACAACACAATAAGCATCAACAAAAATTATAAAATGCTTTAGTATACATTTCATATACATATACACAGATTAAAAATTTGTGCTTATCTGTTGATGGCAATATGTCCTATTAGAGAACTGTCCTGGACGTCTGCCTCCTTTGGCTGTGAAAACGAAAGGAGAGAAAATTTTGATTTCTTTTTGATTGGTGATAAAAACTTGTTCTGATGCATCATAGGAGTATTCTATATTTATTTAACTATTTTTTTATAGTACATTTTTTTCTTTCTTTATTGTTAATTACCATTCTTATCTTTATTTTAAAGTATTTTTATTGCTTAACTTTTAATTTTTCATTTATAATTAATTAGTATTCAGTTGAAGTGGGTACACTTTGTATTTTCTGCCCTGTGCAATTTTTAATATCAAGTGAAAGAACAACAGTATTTTATGCCTTGCGCAATTTTTTGCTTCCTCAAAGTTTTTCCCATTTTTTTCATTTTTAAAGGTTGTAATCTTTTTTGTCATTGAATCCATTACTTTTTCTAAAAACTGTAACATTTTTTTCCTTGTATTTGATGGTCATACCTTTTTTGTAACATCAGAAATTTATTATCCTGCTGTAATAGGCACACAAAAAAATTTTTTGTGCAACTTTGTATTTGTACCTCTTTTCGTAATTGTGTAAATAAATGTGTTTTTCTTTTTAAAGTTTTATGCAGTAGTTGTTTTGTTTTGTAATTTTGCACCTATTATGTTTTACTGTTCCAACTAGACTAAGTTTTTGTGTCTGACACAAGATTTTGAATTTGGTTGGGAATAAAATTTTTATATTATTACAAAAATTCATAAAACATGATTATTGTTATATGGCTGTTAAAATATGAATAGAACTAATTTTTCATATTTCATTATTTAATTGATAAAATACTGAGAATGATAGAAACAGGCCTTGAAATAAAGCAATAAAATCAATCACATATCTTGTTCATTTTTGAGGTAATTATTAATCATGTTCTTCACAGTGACTTTCATCTTTTGCTTTAAGATTTTCACACAGATGATTTTTATCTGTTATACAAAGCCTTCATCTATTTCTACTGGTATTTACTAAATTTAGCTTTAGTAGAACAAAAGGTCAAGTACAGTTACAAGACTGCTACATGAATCTTCTAAATGATAATGTATTGCCTGCTGAAAAATTTTGCATGGGTTATATCAAAATTTGAACACAAATTACTGTTACATATGACTAAAATTTGTTTGTTCTATTCTATTTTTTATCTACAGCTGCGTGCCTGAAATTCAGTTTCTTGTATCTGATACAAAATTAACTTTCATGCTTTTACTTGAAGTATTGTCTTTTTTTCTTTCAGTGTTCAGCTGAGTGTGGCCAGGGACAGAGAACTAGAGATGTTGCTTGTATGAAAAAGTTTGCCAGTAACCTTTTACATGTTGTTTCTGATGAAAATTGTCAAGGGGAAGAAAAGCCATTAACACAAGAAGAATGCACTGTGTCAACATGTGGAGCCGAATGGTTTACTACTGAATGGAACACAGTAAGTGAAAAAGGATTATAATATGGTTCATTCATTATTTCTCAGTTTGCAGACTAGGATTTCAGACATTTTCTTTTTCACTATAGACTCCAATCAAATTCATTTCATTTTTATTTCAGTTTTAATAATAGAGACAAAAAATGCCATGTTCAGTATTTATATATATATATATTTTCTATTCTTTTCTTCAGCTGAAACTTAGATACATATTATGAAGGTGATAGGTATATTGAAACAGTCTAAAGTACAAAATTGTTATTTCTATTTAATTTTAATGAAATGTCTTTCAGTATAGATAGATGATTGTTCTGGGTGGTGGTGGGGCATGCATGTATTGCACTGAATATTTCACCCCAGATATTTTTCTTTCCAACCTGTGTCTAGTATTAGTTTGATTAAGACTTATTCTCTTTGAATGTAAAGATCTTTATTAGCCTAAAGAAAAACAATGATAAAACTTAAAAAATGCAACTGTAGTGATATGTAAATTAGGTACTGTATAAAAGGCAGTATTGCCATACCTATGGAAGAGTTATCTTCTCTTTCGTTTTTGTAAGTTCTCTATGAATATGGGGTATTGTGGTATATGTAGGACTGAATGGTGAAAGATGACTTCTTGTAGTGAATGAGTAAATTGTAATGTATGGATGAGTCTTTAATCCTATTAGCTAGGTATAGGATAGTTAAAATTGACCAGCCTCACTGCATTTCCCCTTTTGACCTTGTGCCATAATTATTGTATTTTTACAATAATAAATAATGAGTCTCTTAGGAGAGTTTTTCTTTCCTTGTAAAATTACTTTGCTTCTCACTGTCCAGTTTACATCCTCTCATGAAGTTGAATTTCTTTCTGGACAAGTTGAGTCATATTTGTCACAAACAATTTTTTTGCAAGTAGAATTTAGGTTTAATTGGCTTTACATTTTGATTTATATTTCTTGGGTTTTGGATATTTTCTTAATTTTCTTTTTCATTTTTTTCTTTTCATATTTTTGTAAGCCCCGTCCAGCTTGAAGCTAGTTTTCATTTGAGTTTGTTTAATCTTTTATTTTCTGTGTCTTTTTATTTACTGTAATTGGTTTTGGTTTTATACATGTTACCCTAATTATTTGGCTGTGGTGGTGAACCAATCACCATGGCAGAATTTCCCCAGACACCGTTGGTGTAGGTGGAACAACCTGAATCTCCTAAAAAAAAAGTCTGGACTAAAATAGGCCCAGAAAAGATGCTAATTTCTATGTTCAACCTCAGGCAATATATGAGCATTATGTAAGATTAATTGAGTTTCTCACTATTCCATGAGCAATGGATACTATGAATATGATAACAATCTCCCTGCTGACCACTGATGAAAAAACTCAAAAATTAATTGGGGTCAGAAGGGAAACAATAAAGGCAGCACTAAAGAGCCCAAAAAATGGGCCAAAGACACTGGCTAGACAATAGAAGGCCATATGGGACATCCTGCTGGCTACAGAGCAAGAGGCCAGGCAGCTGTGGAAGCATATTAATGGCAAAAATTGTTCATTTCCAGACTGAATATAGACAAAGTTGACTGTACATGGGGAGCCCATGGATATTATCAAAGACCGGATGGGAGTTTTTTTGACTGATACAGAAATAGAAGACGTCTCAGCAATAATAAGTGGGCATTGCTACTGGGGACTTTGTTCTCAAGTTAACAATGTTCTACAAGAGCTTTTGAGAAATCCCCATCATTCTGGTGTGTTGGGAAAAAAGGATGCCTGTGGTTGTAGAAGGCTGTCAACCCTACTGCTGGTCATGTTGAAATTCTGGGGTGAAACAGATGGTGTTTCTAACACCACTAGCTGTGGAAATAATGGTGATTTGGACAATGTGGATGGGGGGGAATCTTGCGATACAAACGCTCTTCTTGTCATGAGAAGATCAGAACTGATAGGAAGTTGTTTGTTATTGACAGATTTCAGGAAAGGGTGGGTGAAAGTAACAAGCTTGGTTTGTGTGAATGGAGCTAACCTTGATCTTCATTTTTAAGTCCTCTTGATCACAACAAGGCAGTTCCCTGTGGAACCCTCCCCCTGGTTAAGATATACTCTCTTTGTGTACCTAGTTAACGTGAGTAAGTGTCGTTCTCGGTTTCTTCTTTTATGATCCAAGTCGAGATCCCCAACCACCTCAATTTGTTTTTGGCCTCCTTTTTTATCTCAACTAAGCTAATCTTTGATTTCCCCATGCTGGTATTTATTTTATCCTTCCCTCTCCATTAGTGAGTGAGCTTCTTGATTCTGTCAGAAGACAGAATACAGTGGCCACTCTTATTTTTGAGGGGTGGACAGGTCCTACCAACATCTGTTATTTTTAGTTTGTGTTTTGTTATATTATAGGTTTTTTTTTAAGATTCACTCCCCCCCCCTCATTTCATAACATCACTATATTTTTATATATTTTTTTCTATGGATATTTGTATATGAGAGATTTTTATGTCATAGGGCGTTTTTGTATGTTCCCTGGGAATATGGGACATTGTGGTATATGTAGGAGTGAATGATGAAAGATGACTTCTTGTAGTGAATGAGTAAAATGTAATGTATGGTTAGATCGTGAATCTGATTAGGTAGGTATAAGATAGTTAATGTTGACCAGCTTCATCCCATTCCCACTTTTGGCCTTGTGCCACAATTATTGTATTTTTAATAATCAAATAATGAATTATCTTTTCTTGACGAGACTACCTCTGCCAGAGAGAATACCTATCATAACAGCAACCTTTTTAATTAAGTTGTAACAAGCATCACAAGTCTATTTTTAGTTCATTCAAGAATTTTGTTCAAAAAGAACATCACAGCTTGTCAATAACCCATTTTTAATCAATTAGGAAAAAGAAATACTGCTACAATCCAACAATAAGACAATTAAGTTCCTTTTTCAGTTGATATACATTCTTACACAGTTGAAATCCAGTTTCAGTTACCAGTTGATCTATTTGTCTTCTTCCGAGATAACACTGTGTGTTTTGTAACTGATTTACTCACTTTCATATTTGGTGTTTCTAAATGTCGACTAAAATAAACAGTTACGCTCAAAACTGTTAACTAACCTTTAGGTGCATATGTGTCAGCAGTTGATCATGTGATCAGCTTTTCTTTTCTTTTTTTTCATCTTCTTGCAGTATATGATTGTCGTTCTTGAAATGTGACCAGATGTCACATTCACTCAAGGTCACTTTATCTAAAGATGCTATATTTTCCCCAAAAATAAGAAGTGGAGCTATTTTACTATTTTTATTGCATCTGATTCTGGTTTTTATAATTGTATGAAGAAAATGAGTTTAGCTTTAAAAACTGCTCGCAGTTAATAATGTTTAGAAAATAAAATTCGCTCTTAATGTTAGAACCCGAGTCTTATCTTTAATTTATGTTTCTTACTGCAATTGCTCGTTAAAAATGTTTACCCCCACAAAAACCTTATATACGATATAGGATTTCATGTATATTTTCACCACACCTTTCCTTTTACTAAGACAAGGTTACGCATATATAGAAGAATCTAAATAAGTAGAGAATGAGTGCTAGTTCTCTTCTCTCTAGCCTCCGTAGTAGTACTGTCGTGATTCTCTTGTGATGTGTGCAGTCTGTGGCAACGCCTCTTCATTCTGAGAATACCGGGTTGACAGTTTTCTGGTTGGTGTTCCCAACTGCTAGTTAGGTAGGAGCCCTAACTCTTGCGTAGCGTCATGAGCGGCCGCTCTGATTAACAGTTGTATAATATCGGGGTACCTGTAGTGCCATGTCGTACATGGAAAGGTGTCCCTGCACGCACCTCCGGTGGACAACCCTAAAGCCACATTATGTTGCAGGCTGCGCCAGTTCCTTTCTGTCCGTGTCACATACGATGACCGTCTGCTACTTCTACTTCAGATCTTCTCATTTTCACTATCAACATTAACCAACATGACAACAAATGATCAAAAAAGTAAACTTAAACCAGCTCTTAAAAATCACCTAAACCCTTTAACATTTCCCTTGCTAACATCCGTGGTATTCGAAACAACTTTTGCTGTGTGGAATCGTACATCATTGAAAAGTCTCCTGATATACTAGATCTCTGCGAGACCAGCCTTAACTCGTCTATCCCTTCCTCTGACTTATCGATCCCCGGTTACCTTCCTCTCCTTAGAAAAAAACTCTCAAACCCACATGCATGGTTTGGGACCACTTCCCACTGGCTAGGGAGCTCTCTCTCTCTCTCTCTCTCTCTCTCTCTCTCTCTCTCTCTCTCTCTCAAATCGCCAGAACATCCATACATGTGCCTCCATCTATCTCCCCTGTCCGCTGTAAGTTACCTCTTCTTTCTCTATCGTTCTCCATCCTCCCAATACTGTGGTGTACTTGATAGCATTTCCGACAATATCGACAAGGCTATCTCTCTTCATCCGTTTGCAAATATATTCGTGTTCGGTGATTTTAACGCCCACCATACCGAGTGGCTTAAAAACTCTATAATTGACCTTGATGGCATACAAACTCTTAACTTTTCAATCACTCAATCTCTCACACAAATGGTTGACTTTCCTACACGTTTCCCCAATAACCAGAACGGTACGGCTTTCCTTCTCGATCTCTGTTTCACCTCCATCCCCGAGTCTTATCGTGCCAATCAGCTCTGCCCTTTTGGCAACTCTTATCATGCTGTAGTGTCTGTCAACATCTCCTTCTACTCCACCCCCAGCAAAGAACCTCCTACCAACAGACATCTTTCTGTTATCAGCGAGCAGACTGTGACTCGTTCCGTGATTTCCTTCGCTATATCCCTGGAATGTTGTTTTTAATCTCCCCGTTCAAAAATGCGCTTTCTAGGTCTCCTCTTGGCTAAAAGCTGGAATTGAGGCTTTCATCCCCGCAAGGAAATATAAGGTTAAATCACTCTCATCCTTTTGGTTCTCTGCTGCTTGCTCAGCTGCCATTGCCCATAGGAACACTTCTTCCACCCGTACCGTAGCAACATGTCACATTGCAACAAACGTCTCTTTGTCTCAACCCGTAATGAGTGCAAGCGTGTCCTCACGCAAAGTTACTATTTGCTGAAAGAATGAAACAACGTATTGCAACTCGCAAATTCGGTTTCAAAGAGTATTGGCGTCTCTGCAAGAGCGTACTAAACAACATCAAACCCACAACCAATTTGAGTTCCTGGCTTCCTCAGCTGATAAGACTGAGTGCTTTGCTCGGAAATTATCATCCAATTCAATGCTCGACTCATCCGGTGTACCCACACCCGATTTTCCCCTAGAACTGAGGATCTATTGAGCGAGTTGCACATAACCCCATGGTATTGGACATCGTCTCTAAATTAGACTCCCATAAGGCTAGCGGTGGGACGTGATACTAGCCATTGTCCTGAACAAATGTGCTCCTGAACTAGCTCCTGTCCTCTCCAAACTATATAACTACTTCCTGAACGACTCTTGCTGTTGGAAATCCTCATCTGTTGTACCTATTTTAACCTGCTTCTGACCCATCTAACTACCGTCCTATCAGTCTCCTACCACTCTTCGGCAAAGTCTTTGAACCTTTAATTATCGCCGAACTGGTTAAGTACCTTACATCCCATGATCTCCTTCCGGACAAGCAATATGGTTTCCGCTTTGCCCGATCTACCGTGCTTACGCCCATAACTGAGTTTGTTTACCACGCACTTCACAATAACGGAGAAGCTCGTGCCGTGGCACTAGATATCTCTAAAGCGTTTGATAGGGTTTGGCATGCCGGCCTTCTTCGTAAGCTTCAGGGATACGGAATTTCAGGACGATTATTTGACTCAATACAGTCATTCCTGTCAAACCGTGTAATAAAGGTCGTCCTTAACGGATTCTCCTCTAGTTCATTTCCCACGAACTCAAGCGTTCCCCAAAGCTTTATCCTGGGCCCTACACTGTTTCCAGTCTTCATTAACGATCTTCCCGATGTCATAAGTAGGTATCTATGCAGACGACACTACTATTTACTCCTGCCTCAATAGCAATTCCGGCATCCCTGACAAAACTAACTTGGCCGTTCGTCTTGAACTGAATAATATTCAGTGGCGGACCTACATTATTGGGGGCCATGAATCTTGAACAGCTATGTGAACCCTTTCACAACCAGCAACAACAGATTTGACGATCCAACTGTCAAAATGCAAACTATGAATGGATTCTGACGAGCTAAATAACTAGAGGATCTGGCGCTGCAAGCCCTCAAGAAAATTTTGAAATTTAACCAATCATAGGGGAATTTTTAGACATTTTGTAGAACATTCTGTAATTGATATTCTTACAAGAAATGGGTAGTAGAGCATATTCTTCACCTCATTGGCTAATTATTCTATCGCTAAAATGATCTTATTTTAATAACACTTTAAAAAAATAGATTTTTTTTAATTTACTCATTAGAAAGTTGTTTCAGGGGCCTCTCTGGAGTTAGATTAAGCTTCATTAGTTTCATAGTAGATCCGCCACTGATTATATTAATGACTTTTAATGAAATTAAAACCAATCTACTGACCATTTCAGTGTAGTGTCACCTGCGGAAATGGCGTACAAACTCGAGAAATAAAATGTTTAGACAAAGAACTCAAACCATCGGAGAGTTGTGGAGAATCTACAAAGCCAAATAAAAGTCGGAATTGCCAAAACATTTCATGTAAAAATATGACATCCATTGTAGGTAAGTACTTATCTTAATTTTAATTCGATTTCTAACTCAAACATACCATTGTGTGCCTCAATTTGCGAATCAATTTCCGTATATACTGATCTTATTTGATTCGGGAGTAAAATAACAATTTTTTTTAACAAATGATTCAGTTATAATTTATTATTAAATTATCTTGTCGCTGAATGATGGTTAACGTAGTAGGCCCACAAGTCATTATTAGTTAAACAATGATGCATTTCTTGTAGGGAAAACACTGAACACATAGCTTTCAAGCTCGTTAGTCCTAACTATCTGAAAATAGGATTACAAGATGAAAACTGTGAATCAGTGTTCGCCGACGTAATGTTTGGATGTTGATGTACTAAATCCTTCATCTGATACACATCAGGTAATTTTAGCTGAGCCGCATTACGCTTGGCAAATACTTGGCAAGTTTGAGCTTTATTTCATGTTTTTAAGCATAAAATATATTTTAATATTATACAGTGGGGAAACAAATATTCGGACATATATAAATTTTTAATTTATTGTATTTCCAACAAATGAATAAACACACTTTTCATATGATTAACTGCACATAGATGCATAATAACTAAATATGCATAGAAAACAGAAAAAATTGATTTAATAGAAATAAATCCTATTTATCCATTTTAATGGGTGAAAAAAGTATTCATACAATGCAAATTTCATATTTTAAAACGTTTAAATTGCTTTAATACTTTAAATTATTCAAGTGGAATATTCTAGAATGTTCCAATAATATTATCAATCATTATTTTTATCCTTAAAATACAAATAGAACATTCTGTAATTGATATTCTTACAAGAATGTTATCATCGTGACAAGAGGTTGTTGCGGACCCGGTAGCGTGCAATGCTGGTTTATTAAAAAGTGGCCTTGTGCCAGACACTACTTATGACTACCGAATCCACAAACAAAGTAAAAATATTGAGTGAGTGATCTTAGTGAGGAAAAGGGGTCAATCAACTAGTGCATAAATAATAATACAAGTAGATAGCCGGAATTAAATGACAAAAGGCGTCTGGTTGAAAAACATATATGACATTTTATTAAATTTAAACAAGTAAGTGTCTTAACAGTTGAGACCATTAGTAAAAGTGTTCCGCGCCAAAACAGAAAACCAAGATGGCCAAGGCGGGAACAGTTCCATCAGAAAGAAAGTTCTGGAAAAATGACTTGTTAAACGAAAGGTGTATGTGTACACAAATAGGAAAAGTACTCACTGTGTAGTTTGATAGTGTGAGTGTATGTAATATTTTTTTAGGTACTGGTTCAAAGTAGTTAGAAGGTTCAAAGGTGTATGAACAGATTATCAACTTTCATTGAGGAGAATTCAGAGTTGTTAGCGTCAAGACGAGGTTGAGTCTTGGAATGGTGTGAGGGCGACCGTGTTGTAGAACTCTGGTAGTGAATAGAGGAAAGTTCGAAAGTTGTTCGCATCAAGACAAGAAGTTGGTCTTGGAAAAATATATATTGACGACGTTGTCGTAGGAACTCGACATTTTCTGGTTGAAAACGGAGAAAAGGTTCAACAAGCTGTTGCATCAAGACGAGGATAAATCTTGGGAAAATATATATTGACGACGGTGTCGTAGGAACTCGACATTTTCTAGTTGAAAACGGAGAAAAGGTTCAACATGCTGTTGCATCAAAACGGGGATAAGTCTTGGGAAAATATATATTGACGACGGTGTCGTAGGAACTCGACATTTTCTAGTTGAAAACGGAGAAAAGGTTCAACATGCTGGTTGCATCAAGATGAGAATGAGTCTTGGAAAAGTGTAATATCGACATGTTGAAGTTTTGGTTAGTTAAGAATAAGATATTCCGGCCCACGTATGGGTTAGGGGCACGGAATAAAGGAGTTGTCCGTCTAGCTTGAAGATCGGGAAGCAACTGAGTTGGAAACGCTGTAGGTCTGTGACGTCAGGCAACGCGCGGGAAAAAATTCAAAGTCTGATTTTAGACGTTATCAGGAGTAGCTAGTAAGCAACCTTCCTCACGACAGCGATTACTGCTATGTCTAGCTTAATGTGAGAGGAAGGGGTGCAATCCGCGCGCGCACACACGCACAAGTGTGGAAGGAAGGGAGGAAAATTCGCGCGCGCGTAAAATGTAGGTGGAATTACTGTGTTATTCCACAAGGTAAAGAACTGACAAATTTGCAAATAGAACTGATTTTTAAGCTCTGGAAAGAAGGTAAAAGTTACATAAAAATTTCAGGCAACCTGAATATTCCATTTACAATTATTAATTCATTCATTGCAAGGTATAAAAAACCTCAAAACTGTTGAAAACCAAAGAAGAACAGGTGCTCAACGGAAGATTTCTTCAAGATCTTCGAGGAAATTAATGTATCAAATTAAAAAAAAAAACAATAGTTACTCGTCAAGAGTTGCAGGATCATTTGCTTTCATCAGAAATCTGTGCCACTAAACGAACAATAAGAAATGAAATTCATAGGAACAATCTAAAGTCACGCCCCTCCTCCCTCGGAAAACTCCATTGCTATTGAAAAGACACAGAGATGTCAGGTTAAAATTCATTCGTGAACATAAGGTTAAAGAAAAATCGTACTGGGAAAGAATATTTCGGTCAGACGAAAACAAAATTGAGTTGTTTGGACGTAATTCTAGAAATCGTATATGGAAGAAAGATGGCGATGCCTTCAAACAAAAGAACACAGTTCCAACAGTGAAATTTGGTGATGGCAGCATCATGATTTGGGAATGTTTTTTTCTGCAAAAGGTACTGGCGACATACCAGTAATAGATAGTAGAATGAATGCCGCGGCATATCAAAATATTTTGGAAGCAAATTTAATGATTTCAGTTGAAAATCTTGAACTTCCTCCTGATTGGATCTTCCAACAAGGTAAGGATCCTAAGCACACTCCAAAATCTACGATGAAATGGCATGCTGAAAATAATGTAAATAACCTGAAATTGACAAGTCAATCCCAGATTTAAACCCAATCGAGAATCTGTGTCGTTATTTGAAAATTCAAATGCAATCGAGAGCTCCAGTAAACATCTCCGAAGACCATATGGAATGAAGAATGGAACAAATTGCCAAATAAATTTGCAAATCATTAATTTAGAACTAAAAGAAGAGGTTGGTTGCTGTAGAAGTGAATAATGGATATTCTACAAAGTATTAAATAAGGATTGTGTATTCTTTTTTGTATGGTACGAATACTTTTTTCACCTATTAAAATGGATAAATTGCATTTATTTCTATTAAATAAATATTTTTTTGTTTTCTATGTATATTTAGTTATTATGCATCTACGTACCGTTAATAATATGAAAAGTATGTTCATTCATTAGTTGGAAATACAATAAATTAAAAATCTGTAAATGTACGAATATTTGTTTCCCCCACTGTAATAATATTATAATATAATCTTAATGAGATTTAGAAATTTCAGTTACAAGTTTCTGAATGCAATGCTATTGCATGCAAACTACGGAAAACATGAAAGTCAATCTCTCACATGTAAGATTTCGTTTTATTGATCTCCATACTTTGTCAATGGGTCAGTGGGTGCATGACTCTGGAGCCTTTCTCCGAACGTTAATTCTGCATATCGCCAGGACGTGAGAGACTCTCCTCCCTCTAAGGTAGATGATTATATCATTGTCATATTTTTCCAAGAGTGTATATGCTAGGCATAGCTACGTCGATCACATGCTTACATGTTGGAGTCAGCCACCAACATCCTGTGAAGCGCGAATCTTCATCCTCACCAAGGAGGTCATCTCTCGGGTCATCTCGCTGATGCACCCAGCTTCTTTGGTGATGATCTTGTGTGAAACTGAGTGCAAAGTCTATTATGGTATCGTTTGAGATAAATCTTATACTACAAATATAAATAGCAGAGATTTATTGCAAAACTAGATTCATTTAAAAAATTTGGGAAAGTTGAAATTTTAAAATTGCCTAAAAAATTGAGCTGAGCTTCATATCTAAAATATGCTTAATTTCTGGTCTAGTCTGAGTTTTGTCATGCTTATAAGCTTCATGCTAAAACGTGTATTACTTATCTAAATCCTTGGAAATTAGATCAGTATCTATATAATCTATGTGTTGCAGTAGTGAGATATTTTGTGTTAAGGCCACCAAGAAAGAAAGAAAAAAAACGATAAACATAAGTGATCACAAATTACAAAGATAATTCTTCTATTTTTTCTCAACTTGCAAATACAATCGTAAAGATTATCACCTCTCCGTTGATCAAATTGTTGCTTTATTTCTTTGGTTTTCATTGCAGATGATTCGTGCTTTGATCGCTATGAGACGCATAACTGTCGACTGGCCATGCGAGCCAGGCTCTGTAAACATGCTTTGTATATGGAGTTGTGTTGCGCAACTTGCTCAAGTGGCGAAGAGGAACATCTTTAAACATCACCTTTTTTTTTTCAACAACCGAGCAGAGAACTGCAAAAATATTAATTCTAATAATAATCAAAATCTTTGCGCCAAACTGTCGTCTGCTTTTACGGAGCTCTGATGCCAAAGATTATTACAATACAGACTTTCACATGTGTACGCACAATCATCATACTCAAATACACTAATGAAAAGACGAGTTACTACAAGTATACAAAAGACTGAGAATGTTTCTACTTTTTAATATTCTGTTTCTGATTAATAAGTCATTACTAAAAAGAAAGATAAAAAAATGATAAAAGATATTTGGAAAATTTACCGGTCCAAATATTCAAGAGAAAAATGCAAAATGTTAATGAAGCAAAAAAAAAAAATGATATAAAAACTAAATTATTATTTTTAATTCTTGCCGTTATTGAAGTTCATAGATTTTTTTTGTTGTTTTAACTTTACGATCATTTGATCCGTTCTTTTGATTCTCCAAATATCAATTGTATTATTTTTCATACTTTGTGTGCGCGCATGCGTATGTGCGTACACATTTCTATGTGAAAAGCCTTGATTCCAGAAATAAGTCCGAGCTTTGCACTCTAATTATTTTTCCTTAAGGATTGCAAATCATAGAAAATTATTATAATTTAAAACTTTTTAATCGCACATTCAAATCTTACTTTCGACAACTTTATTCGGAAAATGTCATTATGCATTATTACTTCTAACATTTTGCGAGTTAGCCTTACGACTATTTAAACTTCCTCTAGATCAGGTTTCCCAACCGGGGAGATGTCACCCATCAATGAGGAATTTCAGCTGTTGGATGGGCAATGAACAATGGAACAGAAAATGGGGGGGGGAGGCGATTGAAAATTTTGGTAGGCGATATAGGATTGAGCATTAAAAATGTATTTCAACATATGCTACCCGAAAAATAGTCAAAGGAGATATGCAAAGAACCTGTATTGAAAAAAAAGCAGAAAACAAAAACAAAACAGAAGGCTAAATGTGAATAACTGAGTTACATTCCTAGATAAAATATAAATATCCCTGCAAACAACGAATATTTGGACATTTTCTGTAGTTTGGAGATGGTTGATTAACATATAGTTCTTCAGACGAAATAACATTTTTTTTTGGATATAAATCAGGTAAGGGAACGTCAAAAATAACAAAAATATTCGCTGAATTTTTATTAGTCTATTTTTTTTTTTTTTAATTTTATAATTATGAACAAAAGTTGTTTAATTTTTGTGAACACTAGCAACATTAACCCTAACCCTGACCATAAAGCTAAATTATATATTTTTCAATGATCAAGTTTTCTTTCGTTTATTCTCTAATACGGTATTAGCAACAGCACTCGCACTAGGCAGCATTATTTGTTACCTCCTTTTAGTAATTTTTATCTCATCATAAAGTCAGTTTATGAACCAATCACAAACTTAAAACAATTTTGGTATGCTTTTGAATATTTGCTATACAAATGAGCGATAAAAAATTTTCTTCCATCTGAAAGTGGGCGATGAAGCAAAATGGTTAGGGACCCTTGCTGTAGACCATAAGATGTGTGCTTATGCGCACGTTAACAAAAAAGGATGGTCAATATAAAAAAGCTTTTATCCATTTCAAATTTGATCATCTGTTCGCTAATATAAATAAATCTTTATAAATCTTAGATTTAGTAAAATGGGGTGGGAGGCTTTAAAAAATCCTAACGGTTAAAAGATATTAATACTATCCGAATTTATATTCAGTAGGAAGCTTTTTCAAAGTTCAGCCTATTTCTAGAAATACGTTGCTAAAGCGTATAAGAAACGATAAAATACACTTTGCTGAAGATATTTTGCTGTATTTTTGCATTAGTAGCAAACAAGTATCTTTGCCTGTTATGGATTGCAAGCATTAAAATATCAATATAAACCAAAAATTATTTTATATCAGTGTCATAATTACTTAAGTTTGCATGTATGTTTCCACTTCTAAAATTAACTGTTTTACGGTAATTTCATTTTCAATGAAAACTGTATGAATCTAACCGGCGTCTCTTTAATTTAGAGAAAGCGTTGTTTGATCATGTGTGATTTTCAGCAGACTTTTTATTTTATTTTATTTTTTGAGATGAATTCGGGAACGTGTCTTATACGCCGGAAATTATGATAGACGCCTGAAATTAAATGAGTTGTTAGCATTTTCACACCCTATGCTGACCACAAAGAAAACGCGACAATAAGTTTCAAAGGTGGGAACTAAATCAGATGTAAAAAGAGGAGGGTTAAATTAGGTGCTGTTATAAAGATTCCTGATTCTATATTTGTTTATCTGATCCTCTCATATTTTTTCGATCCTATAGTAAACTTTATTTTTAATTTTAATTTAATAATTATAATTATAGTTTAATTTTATAATTATAGTTTTTGCTTGTACTTATTTTCTTGATTAAGAGCTATAGACCCTTTCCGCATATAAAACTTATATAGTTATATTAATATTGTTATATGAATGAGATGAGAAAAGAAAATGAGTCATTTAAGAAAATTTCCATTCGTTGCTACGACACACACACATACATTAGAAACTTTTGTTGGATGTAGAATTGAAGTAAAACATGACTTTATTCTTCATACAGCAAGCTTCTAGACGCAAATATTGCGTTCATACAATTTACGTTTATATTTCATTGAAATTATTCATTTTTACAAATATATTGAATAAGACATTTGAACATATTGTTAAAAGTAGGTTTATTCCGGTATACAGTTTGCCGCTTTATTTTACGTTTTGATCTCTTTGTTTACCTTCAGGCGTAAAAGTCGGCGGCTGTTGACTCAAGCTCAACTGGTTACTTGTTTTTTTCGTACACATATCTCAAATAAATAAATAAAATCGAGTATAGTCTGCAGAGAAAATAAATGAAAAACAAAATGTTCTTAACATGTACATGTTTTTTGTTTTGTCTTGAATTAAAATAGTCTACAGTCAAGGTGTAGTAGGGAGCATCATGGCCGGCCGTATTAATTTTTTTTTTTTTTAAATTTTGAAGGATGTGACAGTGAAGGCAACTTGAGAGTCACATACATGGAAACACGCTCAATTAGAAACTGTCTTAGCTGACTGGGTTACTCGACCTGAAGGTATTTCTAACTAGACACTTCCTAGAAGGTTATGCGATGATTTTAATAAAATCTGTCACCATATCGCGCACATTTGGCTGTGATGCATTTGCGAGGTATACCCTTATCGCATTAAGTGCTGGGCACATTGGGCTTCGTATATTTTTTTTATCCCAACGCCACTTTGTTGGCGTGCAACTCTTTTATTCTTCTTATTATTACAACACTTAAGAGTGCGATTTAAGAAAAGAAAAAGAAAAGATAAAACACAGTACTTGACAATGTTAAAAAAATTTCGAGAGTATATATTGAAGACATACTGTCGAAATATTGTTCAACATTGTCAGACACTGTTTTTCTTCTTTTCTTTTTCTTACATCACACTCTTCTTTGAAGTGTTGAAAAATATTGGAAGAGTTACATCAATCATTTTGTTTATTAATAATAATGAAAAACAAAAGATCCTCTATAATGGAAGTTTTATAACTACGAAGCCGCCGACTAAAGCTCAAAAATGGACAGCTCTGGCGTTAGGAGGGGCAGCAATAAGCAATCGCCACACAAACACTCTTGTAAACTCTGCGTCTTACAGTCGGCAATTTATTGACACTAACAGTGTCTATATAATATATAGGCAGAACTTCCTCTGAATGTATAGGGAACCATTGAGAGCCATAACTGCAGACAGCTTGAAGGGACAGAGTACGCAGTAGAATACATGACTGCGCTTGAAAAAGCTAGATAGATTTACAAGATGGCACAATGAAAACCAAGCGCTGAAATATTAATGTCCAATACACTTAAAAAGAAACAAATTTTTGTCTTAATATTGGATGTCAATAAAATTTCTGTACCTATTTAATCAGTTATTAAATATATACTTTTATCTTTTATTTTGTTTTCCTTATTTCAGAATTGGGTAAAAGAAATGTATTAAAGTGAATATGTTTGACAGTCATTTTCAAAGTTTCTGGGGTGTTTTTCTGTAATCTCGTGTACCACAAAAAATAACAATAAATAGTAACGATGGTGAATATTTTCTGTTTTTATCATTAATTCATTGGGAATCATTTTTCATAAATTTTCTGGTAATTTTATTATGCAAGAAAGGCCGTCAAAACAATGTAAAAATGTCCCTTCACTTTTTAAAAGTCAAAACTTACAAAAATAATGCAGGAGTCCCCCAAGGCTTCCTTTTCAGTCCTACCGTTTTTCTGAAATATATTAGCAATCTGCCTAAGTATATTATCGGATCACCTGCAAATATATATGTAGACGATACTACAGTTTATGAGAGCACCACCAAGCATTTAGATGACCAGAAGCTGTCAGCTGATCTCCCCAATCCATCGCTAAAGGCGCTGTAAAAATGGTCGGGTTTCCTGTACCGCTTCAGAAAGTACATAACTATTCACTGTCATGATCTATCTCTACAAGAACAGATCAGACCAAAATTGGAGTATCGAACCTGAGCAACCAAATCCTCACTTTCCAGCCTCCGACAGAGTACAAAAGCGTTTACGCGGTCTTGTGGCTGATTAATTGTTTTCGATTCTTCAACCTCTTTCCCACAGACGGAACGTTGTCAGTCTCTCGCAGCTTTATCGTTATTTTCATGGCAGGATGTTCCAACGAACTACATTCCTTGGTTCCATTAGTTCAGACCTTCAAAGCTAGGACCCACCGTATCACATTCATTGTCTCTTCATATTTCATTGGTAAAATTCCACTCAAACAAATACCTCACCAGAAGAGTTGCCATGTTGAACAGCTCTGTAGAAGATGCTTCCCTGACCACAACAATCTTAACCTCGTGAAGTCGAGGATCAACTGTTATCTATACTAAATATCCTCATATATTTCAACTTTTGCTCCCTCTCTGTACGCCTTTACAACAACTTCATT